ATTCTTGGGCACCTGAGCACAACTTTCTCAACACTCATTTTTATACCTGAAACTCTTCACTCAAGCAGATCTGGGGCCAGGGATGAATCATAGAATGGCCAGGGTTGGAAGGGACCTCAAGGATCATGAAGCTCTAATCTCCCTGCCACAGGCAGGGCTACCAACCTCCCCATTTAATACCAGACCAGGCTGCCCAGGTCCCCATCCAATCTGGCCTTGGACACCTCCAGGGAGAATGAAATTCAGCTGAGGGATGCAAGTCAGGTTGGTGCCCTCAGGGCTGGAGAACTGCCCATGGCTTCTTTGAATTACACATCCAGATGTAGCGAAGTTGCTTTTTTTTTTTTTTTTTTTTTTTTTTTTAAATTATTGCTATTAAAATAATGGTACTGTAAAAAAGGATTTCAACATGTGCTGATGGCTGCATGCTTTATATTCCATATGTTCTCTGCTGCTGAGTGTGTGCTTGTTGATGCCACTTGGGCAACAACAAAGCAAGGTCTCCTGACATCGTTATTCGGATGAGGTGATCCCACAGCTATTTCAAAGCATGAGGTAGGGAATCAGAAGAGGATGTGGGTGTGCATCTGATGTAGGTTGCTGGTGGGATTTTGCATGGATCCAAAGCTTTGCCTTGGTTTCCTCATACCTAAAATTGGGCTGAAATGCTGAACTTCATTACTTCTGGCACTTACAGGGTGCCAAAGATGGAGAAAATAATTCTCCAGAGATGCTCTTTTGGAAGAAGTGACTGAACTGTAGTAGCTCATGGGTTCAATTCTGAACCTATCAGCTAAGGCATCATGTCATCCTCTTTGCCCTGGCCTCTGCTTCATAGCGTTTGCAAGTTTTGTCAGTTTAAATGGTGATATACCTACATACATATCTGTCTATCTATCTATATATCTTTTGAAGGAGAGAGCGTTTTACTCCCTTTTTCTTTCCTGATGGCTACTGTAATTGCAACCAACCATGGGAATACAACAGGTTTGATCTTACACACTGCCTAGTCTTGCTGTTGCACTCTTAGGAACACGCATGTTGCTATGTCCATAAGAAGCACTTGTTCCCCATATTCATCCATACTTTTTAATTCAAATACTTAGGTGTATAATCAATGGATATCAAGATGTTACAATCACAAAATAAATAAGAAAGTTAAGCAAAGTGGACTATCATAACAAAAGAGAATAAATGGAAGGCTTACCCTTATGCTGGGCTCACCACAAAGCACCAAAAGGAGGGATCTCCAGATGAGATCCTTCCCCACTGGTAGCCAGCTCTAAAATAGGTCTAGGAGGGGTGGAGCCTGGCTTCAGGTGAATTGCCTTCACCTGTGCTCCTCTGGCTGACTCATGGCTCACCTCAGGTGATCAATCAGAGGTTCAGGCCGTGACTCAGCAGCTCCCATACATTAGAAAAATCTCAGGATCCTTTTATTTAAGGCAGACATGGATGAGTACATGGCTCCAGATGGGTGCTGGCTATGGGCAGTTCAGTTTGATAACATGGCCCCATATGGCAGTACCTGGCTGCACCACTCTGCACCTGGATGGGATGAGAGGCCAAGCTGCTGATGGGATGTAAATATTATAGAATCACAGGATCATTAAGGTTGGAAAAGACCACTAAGATCATATAGTCCAACCATCAACCCATCACCACCGTGCCCACTGACCACGTCCTCATGGAGCCTGTTTGCTCTGTGAACAGAGAAGGGATTTGTGGAAACGTGTGATGCTGAATGTCCTGTTGCTCACCTAGTTTTCACTCTGGTCCTTTTCCTCTCCTCAATCCCTGTTAGTGGGGACACCAGGCTCCCTACAGCCTGAGATTCTTGAGGAAGTTCTCACGGGAACCGTCACGTCCTCAAAAGACAAGTAAACATCCCAGGATACTTATATCCAAGCAGATGTTTGCTCTGGTGCCAAAGACCCTCTCATTCCCACCACATCACAACATGCTGAGCACCAATAGGCTCTATGCGTCCCATCAAAGCACGAAATACACACTCTCATGGAAGTGCTCTCCATCTCAGTCTGTCTCCATCTCTCTTCCAGGCAGGCTGGAGTCAAGGAGATACTGAGATGATACACACAGATAGTCAGTGAGTCACTGTAAAGTTCAAAAAGTTCTGAAATTCCTCCTAAAAACCACATTAGAAATGTACACGGATATAAAAATTGTAGCAAGTGTCTCAAGACAAGATTTCCTGTCCCACTGTGCAACACCAGAATAGTTCTTTTTATCAGAGCTTGGATCTCTCTCCATTAACACAACTGTGATCTCATTCTTCCAGCTTCAGCCTGGCCATGATGGCAAAATCAGAGCTTGTGAGGATCCTGTTCACGTGGTGACTGAGACTGCTCAGTGGATAAGCACTCACATGTGTGGCTTTCTGCATAAAATCTGTGCAGTGGAGAATGAGGCAATGATTTTAAGCAGTTTAGTATCATGATCTCTTTTAATGAGTTCAAGGAGAAAAGGATGAAGGTTATTTTGCTACCTAGATGGGAAAGGATTTGGCATTGTCCAATCTGCAGATAAATCCATTCTCCCTCAAAGAGCTTTAATTATTCCATGGTCCTGAACCAAGCACCTAACATGACAATTAGCAGCAGACAGTAGACCTGGCAATCCAAACTGTCTGTGAGCCATCTCTTTGAAAGGGTCCTTTGGGGAAATCTTTCATGTCATGTCCCTACGATGGGCAGATCCTGGTGTTACCCAAGGAAGTCTTTGCTTCCAGCACTGTGCATCCATAAGTGGGACACTAGGGATGGAGTTTGGATCACGATGAAGATAACCATATTTAAGGCATAAAATGTGCAGATAACTTAGAGCACTTCACACAGTTCCACACCTACGTCTGGATCGCTGGCTGGAGGCCCAGATCTCCACATGGGGGTCTGAGCTCCCAGCTGGTTGGTGGAAGGATGGTCAATATGGTCAGCATATTCATCTTCATCAACACTTTCCATCTGGTTATCACTTTTCCATCTCTTGCCCTGGCAGTTTTGCCTGTTGCATTGTGGATAGTGGTTCTCTCGATGATAGCTGATGAAATGAAAGCCACAAACAGAAAACAGGTTCACTTTGTTTGCCTTTGTTCTTTACTTACTTACTTTATTGAGAAGATAATACAAACTATCAGCCCTGATTTTCCCCAGAAGTTGGAACACTGGCTATGGTGAATGGTGAAAGATCCAGGGATGTCCAGGAAGGCTACTGGCATTGACTCACTTCTTTCTGCATGTCAAAGGTTTCAGCAATACAACTGGCAAACCTCCCACACCACTTCTTCTTGCTGGCAAAATCTTTACAGCATCATGCTAGACTAATAGAAAGGAAATAAATTAATTCATCTGGTGATTACTCACTGAAGAGCTCTGCTCTCCCTCTGCCCCTCAGCAGGCCCAATAGAAGCGGTTTTGCTTTTCTAGCTGGCTTAGCCACATTCTTCCTGAGGAACATAGTTTCCCAGCCCTGCACTGTAGGGTGCACCTACCCACCATAAGGCCCAGAACCATTGCCATAAAAAGAGTGACCTCAGATACCCCTAAAAAACCCCGAAATCATTTTCTCTGGTATATCTGTCTTTTCTGCCCAGAAATGAACCTTCACCAAGCCAGAAGTAATTGAGGGAAAACTTGTCTACAGTTGATGATGACATGAAAGTTACTCTGTGCTTTTGGAATTTGGCAACTGTACTCAGTGTTGGCCTTGAGTCACCACAGCATAGTGATGTCCAAGCAGTTGGGGAAGGCAAAGCTCAAACATTATTTGTCCTGTTCACTTTGCAACATCTGTGCCTCCATTTCCCTGCCTGGAGGCAGTTGCTCCAGAATAGTCAGTGCAGACGAAGAACAGTTTGGGTCTGAAGTGTCACAGCAAGTAGTTTCCCAAAGTTAAGCTGATGGCTTTCAGTGCCTTCAAGAGGATGCCATGTGCAATACACCTTGGGAGAAGGAGGAAGTCTGTACTTTAGGAATGGGTAATGGACTTCTCTACCTGCACAAAACCAGAGGCAGAGATACTGCCTCACCATGGAACATTTTTCTATTCCCTTGGACTCTACTTATTACAGCAAACAACAAACCCTAATAAGTGTTTTCAATCTGCCAGCTCTCATGTGGCCAGGTACCAGGGCTGCAAAGATACCTTGGGGAGCGGCTCATGGGATTGTGGGCTCACTCTGCTTCTCCACTTCATCAAGGACTTTCCAGACACCAAGAACACTCTGGTGAGGGAATCATAGAATTATCTGAATTGGAAGGGATCTTTAAAGGTCATCCAGTCCAACTCCCCTGCAATGAACAGGGACACCTACAGCTAGGTCAGGGTGCTCAAAGCCTCCAACAAAAATCATTGGCAGTGAGCAATAACAACTGTCCATACTTTTGAGTAGCTGCACAGTTCCCATTATATGAGGGAAAGGTAGGGAAAGCATCCCAACAGGAAAATATTTTCCAGTTTTCTAGCCCATCAAGTCTGAAGATCTGTTCAACTATTCCTGCTACTTGGTTTGAACTCCCCAAATACTGCCCTGAAAAGTCAACATCCTACCATAAGCTTTACAGTGACAGTCAGGGAAGCAGGCAGATGAGAAGCAGCTTTCTCTCAGAAGCACTGTGATATAACAGAAATAAATCCCTCCCAACAATTCTGGTCACACATTGCCCACACAAAACATCGTTGGCCTCCACCGTTTTGGCAGGCTTTAGAGGCACAAGCATCCCATTACCAAGGATGCCAGGGGCTCATCCCTTCACCTCTGAGTGCTCTGAAGAGTTGTGTTCTCCAGCCCCATCCCATAGCTGTAAGCACAGATGTAAGCTGAAGGTTGACTCAGAAAGCAGCAGGATGGGACTAGTTTCTATCCGTGCTTTGCCCCCTTCAACCTCACCCACCCCACAAACATCAGTTTGCTTCCATCCCCGTTTTCTCAAAGATTCTTCCTTCAGGAATGGGAACCAGATCCTCTCAGCTCTACTCTTCACTCATCGCAGGGTCATCTGCTCAGTGGGGTGAGACCCACCACCAGGCCTTGTGTCCTCCCCACATTTCACGTTGGAGCCAGCTCCTTCCCGCGCATGGATTTTCTGGTGCCTCCTCAGATACTTCATCAGCCGGTAGCGCTTCCCGCAGACCCCACACTTGTAGGCCCCACCTCGGGAGTGGAGCAGCTGATGTTTAATGAGGTGACGCTTCTGGGGGAAGCACTTCCCACACTTGGTGCATTTGCAAGGCCCCATGCGGACGTGGATCGTTTGATGCCGGAAGAGATTGGCCTTCTGGTTGAAGGTCTTCTCGCACTCAGGGCACTGGTAGGGCTCCTCCTTGGTGTGAATCCTCTGATGTCGAACCAGGTTGGAGCGCTGGGTGAAGCTCTTCCCACACTCGGTGCATTTGAAAGGCTCTCTCATGTGGGCTCGCTGGTGCCGGACCAGTTTGCGGCTCATGCGGAAGCTCTCCCCACACTCGCTGCACTTGTACGGCCCCTCGCTTGTGTGGATCTTCTGGTGTCTGGTCAGGTTTGATTTCTGATTGAAACTCTTGCCACACTCAGGACAGGAGAACATCCGTTCACCTTTGAAAGCTTGTTTTGTTGAGGGTTCTTTCTTGGATGTGGATTTCTCTGGCGTCCCCTCTTTGGTGGGCTGACTGCATTTCTTCTGCTTCCTTCGTGGGCTCTGTCTCTCCTGGTGGTCATCCTCCACACCAGTTCGCTCTTCAATCTGGATCCTTTGGGTGGCACTCGGGTTTGGCTTCTGACCACAGTGGATCTCACTGTCAGTGCTTTTCTGTGGTTCTTCCTTCACGTGGAGCACCCTGTTACCAGCTACGCGACCTTTTTGGTCATGGTGCCCGTCAGAATCCCTTTCCTTTTTAACCTGTCTTCCCTGTAAAACCATCAATGAGAGTTCTGGATCAAAGAGCTTTCCACAGTCCGGGTTTTCTTGTGGTTCTTCCTTGATGTGAAGTTTCTGGCAGGCTATTGCAGTGATGTTTTCTGTGTCGCAGGCGAGTGGTCCTGGTTCCTCTTTCATTTGGATTTTCCCATGAGGGCTTTGTGGATCACATGGGATTTTAGGTCCTTCATTAAACACACACTCCAACACATTCTCTTCTGACTTAAAGGCAGTTTCCTCTTTAATCTGTATGACCTGGAGAGGCACATCTTCAATGTGTCCCTTGAGTGGCTTTTCCTTAGCATGGTTCCTCTGATGGACGTTGAAATACCGCTTGGTGCTCAAGCTCTTCCCACACTCGGTGCAAATGAAAGGCCCTCCACGAAGGTGGATCTTCTGGTGGGCCAACAGTGTGGCACTCTGCCCAAAGCATCTGCTGCACTCGGGGCACTGGAAGGGCTTCTCCCTCTTATGGATCTCCTTGTGGGCCGTGAGCGTTCCCTTCTTCACAAAGCTCTTCCCGCATTCGCTGCAGGCGGACGGCCTCTTCTCCGTGTGCGTCCGCATGTGGATGTTGAAGTAGATCTTTGTGCTCAGCCTCTTGCCGCAGAGGGCACAGAGGTAGGGCCCACCCTTGGTGTGTGTCTTCCTGTGGGCCGCCAGGCATATCTCCAGGCAGAAGGAACGCCCGCATTCCCCGCAGCAGAAGGACCTCTCCCCGGTGTGGATGCTCTGGTGGGTCCTCAGGTGGCCCCTGGTGGTGAAACGCCGGCCACACTCCCCGCAAGCGAAGAGCTCCTCCGCCGTGTGGACGCGCTGATGTCTCTTCAGGTTGCCCTTCTTGCTGAAGGACTTGCCGCACTCCTGGCACAGGTGTGCCTTCACCACGTGCTTCACCATGGCCTTCATGGCAACGGTGCCCCGAGTGATGGGGCTGCCAAAAGGCCACGATGTTACGGGGACGGACTGTCAGGGAGGATACAAAAACCATCAGGACGTACACACTGAGGTGTACTTTGATGGACGTGCTTTGTTCCCCATAAGGGAAAGGCCGACGAGGTGTGTGTGGTCTTCCTCATTTCTCAGCCTCCTTTGGCTCAGCAGCAGAAGCAATGTTTGTAACTTCATCTCCTGCCCTCTCTGATCTCTTGTGGGAGCTTCTTCGCATTCCCGGAGATTGCCAGACTGAAAAAATAAAGGGAAAATTAAGGCATTATTTCTTCTCCACCTGCTTTGTTCAGTACATAAACACAACGGGTCACACCTCAGCTGCTCCATGGGAGATAGAACTCAGGACATTTGAAGCCACAAGATTCCAACAAAGAGATCAGGAACAAGCTGATTTCCCCTGGCAGTGCAAGGATTTATGCACTCACTGCTAGAATGATGCTGAGATTTCAGCTCTGTTGCTGCACCAGTGTCTTACTCTCAGAATAGTTCTCCATTCTTTTATCAAGATTTAGAAATAAATGCATTAATAATGTAATGCAGTTTGCATTATTGCAATGCAATTGTTGCAATTTCTCCCCCAAGCCCCTAAGAAAACAAAACTTGGCACTGCTTGCAGAACAAACTTTGCTGCTTTGTGCTAGCAGACCTCCATGCACAGGGGAAATGGGGTCAGTGTACATCTGGAGAAGTGGGATGCAGAAAGCTGAAGTGACTTTGTCCCTTCAGAGAAGGGTCAGTATGCTGCAGGATCTGGATCCTATGTGCTGCCATTAGACAAAAGGAAGGGCCAACAGATGTGAGCAGCATCTCCTCTCAAGACTGTGAATTCCAGCTGGGAAAAGATCAAGAAAGACGGAGGGGAGGAACATTATTGCTAGAGGTGACTGCTAACAAAGCCATATGGCTGGCCAAGCTTATACTGGAGGTGCTGCTGCCAAACCTACCAGTTATGGGGTGGCTGCCAACATGGACATGGGTTGCCAGTGGGACCTCCCCTGGAGCTCTGGGAGGCTGTGACTGGGAAGATGAGTCCCTGGGGAGATGGCCACCAAGGCATGAGGGATGCAGGGATGTGCCATGGATCAGGAGATTCAATGGGAGATTGGGCGCACGGACATCCCAACACAATGGTGGTGAGGAGATTGTAACTGCATGCTCCTCAAAGGAAAGGCTCAGAGAGGTAAATGAAGAGGGACAGCTATTTCAGAGGGCAGTTATAATGAGAAAAGTTATTTCAAATGTAGTCCCCTTCAGCAAACCCAGGATCCCTGCTGATGTCTGGAGATCCACCTCTGAAGCACAATGATGCTCCTGTCCAGGCAGAACTAGACAGACTGGGACAGAAGAACTGGTGGAAAAAGTAAAATATATGTAAAAAGCAACAACCTACAAGCTTTTCTAGGGTGAGAAGAGACAAAACATACAGACTTGGAGCAGAACACAGGTAGAGATTGCCAGTGGGGGGTGGAAGCTCCCAAAGAACCAGAACCCTCCTGGGTGGGGAGCTGATATCTGACCCTACAACAAATTTTAATCCAGCAGACAAAGCCTCAGCATTGGCCAGGCTGCTAAGAGGGCTCAGAAAAGTTCCAAAGCACGCTGTTACCCAGAAAGGCCATCCACCCCCTGGGCAGGCAGCAGAGTCAGCCCCTGACCACCAATAGTTAGGAAATCTGCAGCAGCACTTCGCTGGGTTTTGTTACCCCTGGATTTTGGCAAAAAGCAACACATCCCAATTGGTGTTAAAGTAAAAATCCCTGCCTGCTTGCTTTCTTTCTCTTTATTTCCAAGCATCCAGATCCCGCCAATCCAAAGCCCGCCTTTCCTTCCAGCTCAGCAACTAAGGACAGCATCCCAGCGAGAGCCAATTTGCCTTTTCCTCAGCCTACCCAGACACATGGAGATGGGGCTGTCAGAAAAGCACCTTACCTGGATGAGCTGTCAGTCTGGGGCTGGCATCATCCCTCTGCCTGGGGGCAACCAAGGCACAGCGTGCTGCTGCCTCCCCGCATCCACAGCCCGAACGATGGAAAGGAAGTCTGCAGGCAGCACAGCGAGAGGAAGGGTGAATTGAACGAAGACAGAGAGCAAAAGGCCGAGGGGATGGGGTGCCAACGGGTGGGATTCCCAAGAGTGAGTCTCACTGCTGGCTGCAGCACTGGGGGGGAAGGAGGAAAGCTGAGGGCTGGAGCTCCGCGCTGCCTGCTGGGGATTGTAGTTCTTGGGGATTGTAGTTCTTGCCCTTTTGCGGTCAGGATGCGGCTGCTTTGGAATGAAAGCGTTTGCTTTGTATGAGGGAGGATGTATTTATCCAGTGGTTCTCTGTCCGCAGCAGCTGGCAGCCCCCAGAATGGAAGCAGAAAGGCTCGTGCCTTGCAAGCAGCACAGCAGCCCTTGTGTTGCTCAATGGAGGCACAAAGATTGTGCAGGTGGTGCAAGGTGAACGCTGAGGCAGTGCAGTGACAGAGAAATCACTGCAATGTCACCAGACAGGCTCCTGTGAGCAAAATGTTCTTAACTTCTAGATATAAGTTTGCAATAATGGTGGTGGTGGGCTGACAGTTGGAATAGATGATCTTAAAGGTGTTTTCCAACCTTGACAATTCTATGATTCTATGATTCTATAATACTTAACCTGATAACAAATCAATATTTTGGTGGGTTGTTTGGAATCTCCCTGAAACTTAGAAGTGATCTAACACAACAGCTAAACAAAATATAATAATATCAAAGAGGGAATCTGCCTCAGGACATTTTTTAATGCAACACTGAGTCGCACAAAAATATCTTTAATTATAGCAATAATTATTAAAAAGTAATGATGTTCATCTTAGATCTGCGTATTTTAAATGGATAAATGTCAACAGCAGTTGGGAATCAGCAATTGATTTTCCTGCCCTGACATTTGGACTAGGACCTAAATGATTCTATGATTTAGCAGAGTGATGAGCACCACTTGGGTGAGGCTGAGGCTCAGCAAGACCTCAGAGAAATCACTCAGACCCTCCTGGATCTTCCTGGTAGAGAGGTTTTGAGACTCAGCAGGAAGCTCTGTCTTAAGGGTGGCACAAGGCTGCAAACATCCTATTCTCCTGCTCTTTGATTTTGGGAAACTGAGGCAGGGGAGGGTGAGATGCCTGCTCAGCTCACACACTTTTGTGTTGCAAGGCCCCTGGAGTTCAGAAGCTGTCTATACCTTGTATGTGTCTTGGTTAAAGTCTGCTCATGTGTTTTCTACCCCACCACAAACCACCAACATCAAGCTTGCCTTACTCAAGTCTTCTGTTTTGATGCATGAGGTTGTACCACAGCAGGTCCTAAGCAGGACAGACCATGATGGAAAGCCACAGGTGTGTTGCAGCAAGATCCCTCACATGCAGGACTGCTTTGGCAACATTCCCCTTTTCCCATCCTTCCCATGATCACAATACATTCACCCTAACCTCACCTTGCACTCTCTGGATGGTGCCAATCATCAGCTCCACCAACAACCTCCCCTTGGCGTGCCCTAGCTTTTGTGCTATCAAAAATGGACTCAGAGACCCTCATATTCATTCCTAAAAGTGCTTCATGGCTGAAGTCACTGGGGCAAGTTTAGGATCCAAAAATGCCTCTTTCTACTCCCAGTTTGGAAATGGTGACCTCTTAGCGTGAATGAAATCTCTGCTACTCCACAGTGACCCATTTTGGAGGTGAAGCTGTACAGTTGGCTGCAGTGACTGCCTCTGCAACATGCCACTAGATGCCAGTGGAAGCTTTTCCCAGCCTGCTCCTGCCGAGGGGAATCTCACACTTCTGACAATTTGATTTGTTTCATTGTATTTTCCAGAAGCTAACTCTTCACTTTTGATTTAATAAGGCCTCCTTGCATTTGGGAATTTGGGTAGTTACATGTAAATATTATGTGTGTGCTTTCTGTATCTTCTCCCTCTCTCTTTTTCACTCTCTGTATCTCCCTCTGTTTATTAAATGTATATAGATATAGCTACTATTCAGATAGGAACTCTTTCTAAATGGCTCCACAGACAAGGATTTCACCCTCATGCTCCTTCCCTCATCCCCCTTCCTATCAAACACCCAACTCCCCAGACTCTTCACCTGCCAACTCCTCTAGGCCATCATGGCCAATGACCTAACATGGACAGTAGAAACACAGAATCCTAGAGTCATTAAGGTTGGAAAAGACCACTAAGATCATTGAATCAGTTTACCCATCACCACCATGCCCCCTAACCCGTATCCCTCAGTGTCACATCAATCCTTTATACATACAGGTGTTGGCATGGCATGTCCAAGCCCTGTCCTGTGCTGGGAGATGTTCCCAATAACCAGCTTGTGTAGTTTGACATTTAGCAGGAAGATGGATGAATGAAATTGGATGGATGGATGGATGACTGGTATATGCTTTAATACCAGAATGCTATCTGCTGCTGGAACAAGACGTTAGGCTTGGTGGAGGAAAGGTCCAACCCAGTCTGGCAATTCATGTGTTGTTTTTTCAGACAAATCCAACTCTGTGTTTGACCAACCAGCTGTATCCAATGAGGCTGCGCAAGAGAAGTGAGAACTAAATATAAGACGAGCTGTCACATGCTCCAGTGGCTGATTAATTATACAATGAAATAAAAATGGAACTTGGCAAAGTAAAGGAGAAAGGGAAGAAAAATGAAATCTTTGCCCTGCTTTACAATGGAAATATTGCTGCAGGTTTTATTAAAGATGCCACAGTTAATCACATCAGGAGGCTGAAAGGAGTGAGGTTGCTGGGTACACACAAAGCAGGATAGCTGGACAATGCAGCGAGGAGAGATAAGGGGGGCAGGAACCCAAACCATTATTTGTTCAGACCATGATTGTTCCTGAGATTAGCGACCACGTTAGGTGCTAGCTGAGGCTCAGGACACCATAGATTGTTATTAATTTAGGAAACAGCTCTCATAATAAGGCAAATGTGACAA